CGTACATGATCCTGTGATGCTTGAAGGGCTCAAGCATGGGAGAGGGGGGGGGGGGGGGGGGGGGTTTTTTGGGTATGTTTTACCAGTACCAAGAAGGACTGGGTCCAGGCTGCAAGCCTCTTGCCCACCATCTCACCCACGGTCATTTTGGAAACAAAATAACTGACAAAGATGTACATGGATGGGGAAAATGGGATATAAATTTAAAGTAATAAAGATCGATTTTTTTTTCTTGCATGACTTATAATGCTGCAATTCTGGGATGGGGTTGTGTGTGTTCCAAGTTTGTGTTTCTTGGTCCCAGACTTTTAAAAAATTAGTTTAATTGTGCAGTGTGAGTCTTGTTGCAATGGATCACTCCTGCAGAGTGATCACAAATGGGCTGCTGGCAGTGGAAGGCAGAACATTCAGGAAGGGCAAAACCACCACCCCCCTTCTTCTCCTTCTGTGACAAAGGACACTGGGGCCCAACCAGAAGGCCTCTGGTTTCAAGTCCTGCCTGATTTTGACACCAGCCAGCCAATACTTCCTCTAAGCTGTGGAGTCTTGTGAGCAAAAATTCTACTTTGTGAGCTACTGGCATTAAAGTTGTGAGCGAGCTACTGCATAAATTAGTTTGCTCTGCAGCCATCCTTCCTGAACTATGACAAAAATGTGTGAGCCGGAGGCTCAAAAACTGTGAGCTAGCTCATACTAACTCAGCTTAGAGGGAACACTGCAGCCAACCAGTCTGGAATTCATGGCCTGACACAGCTTTGGCAGCCCATTCCCGAAAACACAAAACAATTTATTTAAAAGGTAATTTTTTTTTAAACCCAGCAGTTTAATCCAGTGAGTAGTAACAAACAGTACCCAAAATGCTAAAATAGTTCCCTCAGATGCTGGAAGGAATATGAAGACACTCACAAAACTGCCTGATGCTGAGTCAGGCCATTGGTTGAAAGATCAGCAGTGTCTGACTGGCAGCAACTCCACAGGGCCTCAGGTTTATCTCTTCCACGCCAAATGCTACCTGAGCCTTTTAGCTGGAGCTGTTGAGGATTGAACCTGGGACCTTCTGTGTGCAAAGACTCTGCCCTACCACTGAACTCCACCCCTTCCCTGACAGGAAGGATGCAATGGACTCATGAAGCTGCCTGATATTGGGCCAGATCGCTGGTCTAATAACGCCAGTGTTGTCTAACTCTGACTGGGAGCAGCTCTCCAGGTTCTCAGGTCTTTCAAATCTTCAACTATGTCATCCTTTTAACTGGAGATGCTGGGGATTCAACCTGGGACCTTCTGCATGCCAACCGGACGTTCTACTCTTGAGTCACGGCCTGTTTTCACTTTGTGTGTAAATGCGAGCAAACCAAGGTGCTGCCTGAACCTGGGGGGGGGGGATTCCATGATGTCATCACAGAAAAGTCCCGGTCCCTCCTCCTAACCTCTAAAGATGGACAGCTGGAGTAGGGGCTCCAAAAATAATCTCATATGGAAGCAACTTTGGCATGAGATTAAAATGTATTTGTTCTTGGACAGACTCTGCTGATTGAAAGTGGTGTGTCCTCTGTTATATTTATTTAGAAAACTTTGACACTGCCTCTCCAGGACCCTGTCCGAGGCAGCTTACAAGTAGAAACAATACCATAAAATCATTGTAAACTATCAATATCAATGCAAAAATGAGCCATTAAAAACAAGCCAGGGACATGAGAACAGTGTAAATATAACCACTGAGCACTCTAAAAAATATCCACAGAACAGAGCATAAAATAACTAAAAAGATAAAGCCCTTAGTCGAAAGCCTGAGTAAAAAACAAATGTTCCAGCCCAGCAGCTAAAAGAAAGTAAGGTATGTGCCAGGCAAGCCTCAAGGGAAGGCATTCCAAGGGTGAGGTGCCACCACTGAAAATGCCCTGTCTTTACGTGCTACCCCCTGCCTCTGAACGGGTTTAAAAGCCAATCTTAACTGGTTGGCTGAACAATACAGGACATGGTTGTTCAAATATTTTGGCCACAAGTCATTTAGGGCCTTAAAAATAAGAACCAGCACTTTGAATTGTTCCTGGGAACAGATGGACAGCCAGTGCAGATCTTTCAGCACAGAGTGATGCAATCCCTATAGTCAACCCATGACAATAGCTGGGCCACTGCATTTTAGACCAGTCAAACTTTTGATTTTAAATCCTGTCCTGGTTTCATTAGCTCTGCTAGTTTTAAGTACTACTATTATAAAGCAAGAGAGAAAAGTATTGCTTTCGTACTTTTAGTATCGAGAGCAGGGAGAATCAAGATTTCTGCTGATTTTATGTTTTAAAGTTATATTGATGAGCGTTTTTATGATGGATGTCCATTCAGACAAGCAGAGGAGAGCTCCTTCTTGCTTGCTTTGGCCTTCCTGCTTTTTTTTCTGCTGAACTCTCTCTGTAGAAAGCACCACTGGTTAAGGTAAATTTTGACATGCCCAGGTCCCACTGGAATGAGATTATAGCAGTTGTCAGTATTATGTAAGCGGCCAAACAGCTTCTGGATAAGCAGAGGAGGAGGAGGAGGAGGAGGAGGGGGAGAGTCAGCCCCTGGGCACAGCAGAGACTCCAAGAACCCAGATGACGGCAGCGCTTCAAGTCGAGAGATTTAAACACTAAGCAAGGTGGGTAACAAGTTATGTGAGCGGTAGTACAAGCTGTTCCTCACCTGGCTGGCCCACCCAGTGGTGCCTTTAGGGAAGGCTGAGTCAGTCAGCCTAACAGCAGAACCCCAGGTCTTTCTTCTGACAGACAGCAGCACTTCCTATCTGGACAGGAAAAGATACAGGGCTGTTCTCTTCCAGCATTTCCCCGCTCCTGCAGGCATGACAGTGACACATTCCAGGATTCGAGAGCTAGGCATTTGAGCGCCAATCTGGCAAGGCCTGGAAGACAGCTCAGAGATGCAGGAGGAGCGGCATGGAGCTGAGGGACTGAAGCATGGCCAATAAGGGTCATGGCAGCTCTGAGAAAACAACCCAATCTGAGGCAGCCCTGCCGGACTGAGTGGTCCACAGCCTGTCTGAACATAGGGCAGTACAGGGTCGTGAGTGCTCTTCCAAAGGAAATTCCCTGCTACCCTTTCTGCTACCCCCTCCCCAAGAAAAAAGAAGCTCAGCTTTGTGAATTATGACATCCATGTTGAGATTATGTTTTTCTTTCATCAGGTAGTTTTCATTACTAAAAACGCTTCCTTCTCTGTCCCTCCCCCAACATCCAACTCAGCATGCATGAGCAGTCAGAGCAGGCTCAGAGGGACCCTCTACTGCTGTTAAACCAGAGAAAGCAGATTAACATCATCACCCGTGGCTTCCCTAAGGAGTGCGTGCGTGTGTGTGTGTGTGTGTGTGTGTGTGTGTGTGTGGGACCTGCTGAGGTGGCTGCCGTTAGAAATAAGATGATGGACAAGATGCAGTCTCCACAATACCATATAGTTTCAGATTGAAGTTTTCTACTCATGCTCTGAGTTCTGGTACAAACTTATGAGTTTTGGGTCAAATACACACCCTTGAATCAGCAACCAGTCCTCAGGCCAGCAAACCTCAGTCCTTTTCGGCTGGGGCTTCCATCCTTGCCTGAGCGGCATATGAGCTCCCTGCTCATGGCTCTTAGTTCCCATGAAATCTCCCCTGCTTCTGCCTTCCCTTCTTTCTTATCTGCTTGATCCTAAGTTGGCCAGTGTCCCCCCCCCCCCCCGCCAAATAAATGAAGACCTCATGTTACCTAAGGGGGGGAAGAGTCAGATTCTTACAAACCCCCTCCCCCAAATTAACAGCGTTCTATTCCACATTTAGTACTTCCACTGTTCCGCTATCAGCGGGAAACAGAATCAATGTTTCACACAGCAGTATTTTCCCATTCAAAAGCATGGCTCTCCTCCACAGCAGAGTCAAAAGCAGCCAGTGTGTTACTGGCTCCTCTCAGATTGGTCACCAAAAAGTCAGCCAAGGAAGCCCGTCTTCTTCCCCTTCCCACTCTCAGGAGTGGATTAATACAGAAGGACTTTCTCCATGTATGCAGCTCCTTGGGGAAAGCTGCCAAAATCAGGTAACTTTTACCAGTTACTGTATTGGTCAGTTCAGTGATGCTCACCTACGGCACTAAAACTTACAAGCTAGCAGCACTTATGTTAATAGAGTCGTAAAAAGGTTACACATTCATGCTCCCTGGCTCATCTTTCAATCAAACATTTCCTGATCTGTCATCTTTGCAATCACATTACACAGGGGAAGGGGCTACCCTGCAGGACATTTTACAATGACAGCGCAGTCAGGAAAACAGAAGTGTATACCCAACTATTAGTTATTTAAAACATTTATATCCAGTCTTTCCATTCAGTTAGGGCCCTCAAGGTGGAAACCAGCTAAAAAGATGTTAAAAAGCAACTTTAGAAACACTACATACCTAAAAAAGCCAACAATTAAAAACAAAGAAGAAGGAGGGTCAGTAAGGGAACGCCAGATGAAACAGAAAAGTCCTCACGTGCTGGTGGGAGATAGCGATGAAAGGGGACAGACTAATCTCCCTGAGTGAATTCCGTAATTTTGGTCCCACTGTTGAGAAAGGCCCTTTTTGAGGTTGCCCCTTGGCAAACCCACCACCCTTGAGGTTGCCCCTTGGCAAACCCACCACCCTTCCTGCCAAACCCACCACCCTTCCTGCCAGGGCACAAACTGTGTTTTGCTGTCCCAAACAGAGTGCTACTGTTCCACCCGAAGCCAAAATATCACTACAAACAGTAAAGTCAGGAAGTCAACACAGAAAGCCCTTGACTGCAATGGTTGGGCAGGAGCTGGATTCTCTGCAGGAACTGTGTGAATGAACCAGGGCAATTCTAAACAAAACCGCTACTATAAAAGTGAGTACCAAGTACAGCAGCGACACAGTGAAGGCTATAACTGCTGAATTCATGCAAAGGTATCGTGGCATTGATTTCAAACAAAGCTTAAGTTAAAAGTCTTGCTTCCTCTCAGACAGAAGACAATCACTCACCAGAGTTTTCTTGCTCTTCTGGCGTTTCCCAAAAATGCAGGACAAATCATCTTCACTTCGGGAAGAGAGATCTTTTCCTGAAGAGAGTGATGGAGAATAATTAGCTGTGTTCTTGAGGAATATAGTCAGTGCAGTGTACACTCTGTACACAGGACCGATGAAAAGAACCCTCCACATTTCCCCAGAAAGTAACAAAATTCTGGGGCAAGACAGCAATACTTTTGTGAGATTCCCATTCATTTGAGTGGGGCTTGATAGGCAAAAATTATTGTTAGATCAGCCCCTTATTCTGCAACCTATAACAATGTGAAGATAAGTACATTGGGAATTACCTGTTTTTCATACATGATTTATTCTGTTTGAATTAGGTATGAAAAGGAGCAGTTTCTCAGTTTCTGCACTAATTCTCCCCAACCCAACCTTCCACCCCGTCTTGCCCACTTAAGTTAGTCTGTATCCCCTCTGTGAAGGGAGACTGTCATTTCTATAGCCTGTTTAGCACTCAGCATACTACTGAGGCCTCCTTTACAATTAGGTGTTGCCAGGAATCCAGCTGTCCAGAAAACTACTCCGCCAACTCAGCATCACTTTTGAGTTTTATCTGCCTCTATTTTACCTTTGGCAAATTTCACATAGTGAACCCGTTTCCGAGAGATCTTGGATTTCTCCTCAAGATTAAACGTTTTCTTTTGCTCCCCAGGTGCAGACTCTACAACACAAACACAGAATATTGCATGAGACTAATAAATGCCTGGAAGACAGGGCAATAGAAAAGGACCAGGGCTCAGTGGGAGAGCACTTGCTTTGCCTGCAAAAGGTCCCAGGTAAACCCCTGGCATCTCCAGTTAAAAAAATAAAGTGGTGATTCAGTGACGATTTGAAAGACTTCTATCAGTCAGAGAATATGGACCTTGACAGACCAATGCTCCTACCCATAAGAAGGCAGCTTTACACATTTATGGCTTCCTCACTTCTAATCAGATTGCTGGGAAAAAGATCAACAACCTCAGATATGCAGACAATACCACTCTAATGGCAGAAAGTGAAGAGGACCTAAAGAGCCTCTTGCTCAGGGTAGAAGAGAAGAGCGCAAAAGTGGGCTTGAAGCTCAACATCAAAAAAACTAAGTTCATGGCATCCGGCCCCATCACTCCTTGGCAAATAGAAGGGGAAGTCGTGGAAGTAGTGACAGGATGAAATGGTTAGACAGTGTCATAGATGCAACGAACATGAAATTGAGCAAACTTCAGAGGACGGCGGAAGAAAGGAGGGCCTGGCGTGATCTTGTCCATGGAATCGCGAAGAGTTGGACTCGACTGTGCTACTAAACAACAACACTTCTATAGGGCACTACTAGACTCAGATCTGGGATACTTTCTCCATGTTATGCTTCCATGGTTCATTCACACTGGGGACCCTCACTGTGAGGAACTTCAGTTCTGCACAGGTCACATGACTGCTTCAGTCAGGACTAAACTGCTGCTCTTCCTCTTAGATTCATCCCCAAGCATGATGAAGACCGCTCCCATCCTGTTTTTAGCCAACAGAATATGTTTTTACACCTTTCACCTCTGCTGCCCATCAACCAGTAGCTGACCCTACTGCAAATGAAGACCAATGCCAATGAAACTATGTTCAAACTTCTGCATAGGGGAATTCAGAGCAACCCATATTTTTTTCTTCTTCTTCTTTTTTTTAAAATATTTTTTATTATCATTATTGTGTAGTTAGGTAATGTTACACTTTAAAATAGCAGCAGCGATGACAAAATATATGTGACAACAAGAAGAAAAGGGGCACAGCAACCATATCATTTACAATACCATCATTTACATATCATTTACAATACTATTATAATATATAAACAATTTTGATAAACTGACAACCATTAACTTCTGTGAAAAAACAATCTATTTAGCAAAATCCTTTTGTAGCCTCAACAAAATAGGAGGAGCTTATATTTGGCAGCTTTAATAGCCTCCCATTCAAAACATTCTAAATCTATCTTTTCTACTAAAGGGAACCAAATACTTAACGGATTAGAGAGCAACCCATATCCATGCATAACCATCACCCATTTGTGGGTTTTTGGGGCAATCAGCCTGTAGGCAGGAAAAGCAGAACCCAGAGTTTCCCTAATGTTGGCTTTGATCCCATGGAGGATTTCTGCAGATGAAAGGTGGGGTGATTTTCACCAATCCATCCCCTCCTGCTGCAGACCTCTCAACTTTCCCCATGCTGCTGCCCGGGGGGGGGGGCTCCTTTTCACCCCAGAGCAACACTGGGGTGGCGTATTCTAGGCTGCAACAGGAGGGGGAAAGGAAAGTTGCTTTCTGTGAGAAGAAATCACTTCCATTCACTGAAATCACCACTGGATCCAAGCCCAGAGACTTTGCATGGAGGCAGAAACACCCATGCCGTTTCCCCACAACCACTCCCTGCACTGGAATTACGAGGAATCCCCAAGGAAGACAGAATCATTTCCCTGTTTATGTTCTCAGCACACCTTTGCCACCAAGTCTCTGCTTGAGCCTCTGCCTTTCCCTGCTGCACCTCACTACTAGACAGTCTCTCAGCTGGGCTCCAATACCCAGAGTGAGCTAAGCTGGGCATAAAAATGCCTGAAGCAACAGAGAGCAGCTGGCAAGTAAATGGTGGGAGGATGCTTTAGCACCCCTTATCTTTTGTTTTAAGAAGTAGATCCCCACCACCACTGACATGAATGGGGTTTGCCTGTGTGGCTCACTGCCAATTACACACACGTGGGTGATGGTTGTACATGGCTATCTACATATGGGTTGCTCTGAATATCCTATGCATTACCTTGCACATAGTTTCATTTGCAGAATGCAAAGGAGCAGCTACTGGTTGATGGACCACATAGGTCGTCTTCATCATGTCTAGCCTGGCCTTCAAACATTTGTTCATTGCATTCGCACTTCACAGTCTTCTCCTAAAGTGTCTTCAGCACCCACCTGGAAACACGTAGCGTGGCCTACAGCTGCACTATATTTTAATCTCAGAAAAGAGATTACAGTGTTTTGGTTTTGATCTCAACAATAGCACTAGTGCCCTCATGTGGCCAAGAGGTGGAATTCCATTATATTAAGAGCTTCCCAGAACACTGATTCTCCAAGGACACATTACTGTTGGCACCCCTTTGCAAAGTTTGCTACTGTACCTGCACCATCCTGTCCGTGGCAGTTGTTCAGGTTTGCCAGAAGCTGGTTGAAGTCATCCTGGTGGGCAATCCAGTTGTCCTACAAACATCACACAAGAAGCAGGCTGCATTTTTACTTTTTTATGCAGCACGGGTCTTTACAGAGTAATGTAAGTTTTTTTTTTAAAAAAAGACAGTTCCTGTCCCAAGAAGGTTACAATGTAAATTGGCACAGAGGGAGAAGCAGGAAAGGATAAGGAGAAAAAGGAATTGGAGAACCAGCGGGGAATTCTTTTTGTGACTAGACATTTTAGGATAATTCCTTCCAGATGTTGCATAAGCTCATACATCAGTAACCACAGTTCAGAACCCACACCACGGCTTCAGCTTCAAAATGTACAGAGAAACTACATTTTAATGCTGTTCATTTAGCTGTCAGTCTTTTGAGCACTCTACATCACACATAAATCCCCCCCCCCCCCAACTCCTATGTCATAACAGCCTCCGGAGCAAAGGTTGGACACTGAGGCTTGTCAATTTGGGTGCCACTAAACCAAATCTAAGGCGCTGCAGTGGCTCAAGTGGTTAAGACACTGAACTGCAGGCTGGAAGGTTGGTAGTTCAGCAGTTCGAGACCCGAGTGCCACATGATGGAGTGAGCTCCCGTCTCTGGTTCCAGCTCCTGCCAGCCCAGCAGTTCAAAAGCAAGAAATTGCAAGTAGATAAAAAGGTACTGCTTTGGTGGGAAGGGAACAGCGTTCGATGCACCTCGGCGTTTAGTCATGCCGGCCACATGACCACGGAGAAGTCTTTGGACAGTGCTGGCTCTTCAGCTTGGAAACGGAGATGAGCACCGCAACCCTAGAGTCAGATTCGACTAGCTTTCAAGCAAGGGAAACCTTTACCTTTAAAATCAAATTTAGACTAAACTGTGGTTAGCAAAACCCACAGGTTCCCATCCTGGCTTTCTGGCTGATCCCAAGTAATAGGTTGTAGCAGGGCTCTTTTTGTAGAAAAAGCCCAGCAGGAACTCATTAGCATAATAGGCCACACCCAACAGCAGGAACTCATTAGCATATTAGTCTACACCCCTGACAGCACAGCTCATTATCACATTAGGTCGCACCCCCATGTTACCAGAAGTGTGGTTATCCAGCCACACCCACCTTTCCCTTCTTATTCTGTTTACCTTGTTTGTTGTCAAAACCCAGGGCTTTTTTGTATCAGGAACTCCTTTGCATGTTAGGCCACACACCCCTAATGTAGCCAATCCTAATGAGTTTCTGCTGTTGGGTGTGTCCTATTATGCTAATGAGTTCCTGCTGGGTGTGGCCAACTTGGGAGACAGCCGGAACTTCGTTCCTGTGCGTTTCTGCCCCAAACTAGCCCTGGGTTGTAGGTCTGGACACCTTACCAAAGCATAGGTAGCGTTCCATAATCATGGTTTGGTCTGATTCTGTACTTGACTCAGTGACTTCATCCACAAGTAACACCAATCCATGGCTTGTGTTGTACATTTTTATTATTTAGATCTTGCTATTCTGTGTTTTCCCCCCCCAGTGGGGACCCAAAGCGGCTTACAACATCCTCCTCCTCTCCTCCCTTCTATCTTCATAACAACCCTGTCAAGCAGGTTAGGCTGAGAGTGACTGGCTCAACGCCACCAAGCTAGCTTCCGTGGCAGAGTGGGCTTCAAACTAGGTTTTCCAAATCCTAGTCTGGTACTTAAACGGCTAGACCACACTGACTCTCACACCACAGTCCGGCACTGCATGAGTGAACCTTCAGCTCATCTGCTTCCCCATGTGCTTTGGGCCCCTTCCTTTCATGGCAAACTGGAGCCTGCCACTGTTGTATTGTACTTGTCCTCCAAACCTGAACTGGAAACTACAAAAAGAGTCTGCAACAAAATAGGAAATCTGGGCAGTAACCGGAGCACTGGGGGGTGGTGGTGGTGGTGGAAGAAGAGAGGCAGAACAGACCTGAAGCTTGGCCACTGTTTGACCATTCTATCCAATCCAGACCAATGGCTTTCTGCGAAAATCAAAATCCGATCCGATCACAGCCAATAGACAACCGGAAATTCACCCCAAGATGCAAATTCAGGTGCCGAGAAAAGCTGACAACTGTGTCTTCGCAATGCACATTAACTGTATTTGCATATTGCCGGTTTTGTGTGATCAATTACGCGAGCCACGAAGAAGGACACAAGTGATCTGGCCACCATGGAAGCCCTGCCTCCAGAAAATATTTCAGCACAGATAATATTTGTATTTAATAAAAACTCTGAACCTGAGAGCTTCCAAGGCTTATTCATGCCAAATTTTGTTCTGCTCACCTCATGGTTAATAGATGCTCCTAAGCCAAGACTGTTGTTCTTCACTCGGACTCTGATGTGCTCCGTCTTTCCTTGTTCTTGAGCCCCAAGCCCCTACGTCAAAACAAGAGGCAAAAGCAGGAGCGTCAAATACAGGGATGCAGCAACCTGTTGTCAGTTTGAAAGAGACTAGCACTGCTGCAACTGAGTCTACTTTGGGGCATGCCATTAAGGGTTCCAGCATCCTCTGTAGCTGACAGGCTGGCCTACACAGGCAGCTTCCAGCCCCTCCCCAGCTGAAGGTGACTGGCCTCTCTCCCCCCGGGCTTTCTGCCCAAGCCAGAAAAGGAACGGAGTGCAAGGACATCACTTGCAGCCTGCGCAACCAAACAGTACACCCTCTTGCCTCTCACAGCAGGTATTTGTATACATTTGTGTCTGCATTTAAGTCTACTCCCCTTCTTTTAAAAAGCTGCTGAAAAGTAAAAAGCACCCAGAAAAAAAGCCTTGAAAATCAGAAAAGTTCTACTATTTGAGTAGATGCATACAAATTGTGCCACAAGGAACTTGCAATACATGACTACAGCTTTGTAGTGCCAACAGAAACTGAATTTCCAAATAAATCTGAACTCTAAATATATACATATATCCTACTGTAGTCAAGTAAATATGATAGACTTTGGCTGCAATCCTACAGACACCTTTCCCGGGAATAAGCCACATTGAGTATTATAATTATTTGAAATATTTTAAAACATTATTATTTAAACAGGGGAACCAAGTAGAACTGCTTAGGACTGGTTTCTTTGGCTCACAAACATGTTAGTCTTTATGGTGCCAGAAGATTCTTGGTTGTATTAGATTCAAATGACTAACAAGGCTACCATACTAGACTTCATCACTGCTACACAAGTGATGTCTGTATCAAGATTCAAAATAATCCAATTGCATTGCTGAACAAAAAAGCAACGTTCATCTTCAAAACAAAGGTGCTCCTCTGGTCCAATATTGCCTAGAACACAACTGCTGTACCACAGACTTCACAAAGCAATAGAATGTTATTGGAAAAAAGAGGCAGAGTGGGTTTTGAGACTGAAAACGCGGGTCCCTAGTGGGTTAAATGAAAGTCTGGAGTTGCTACAACTCATATGAGATAAAAACTCTGTTCCACTTACGCTCTTTTCTCTAACCTTAGCTGCTTCCTGGAAACATTACTGTACAGGTTATTTATGTTCAACCATGCTTAATGTCTGTCTGTGAGACCAGCCTGTATTGCTCTGTTTAAGAACTGTCCTTCTAAGAACAAGCATTCTATAGTATGTTCTTACAATGGACCTGTCAGGAAATAGATAATCGTCCATGAAACATTTCTGGTTCCTGGGATGTCATTTTTCTCACATGCTCAGTTACTACTGTCTTTTCCAAATTGGTCTTTAAATATGTGTTTGTAATGACATGTGTCTTAAGACGTCTATACTTATATTATTTAAATAGATCCCCAATAAAGTACAGGCAAAATCTGCAGGAGTCATCAAGTCTCAGAACGTATGTTTTCCCCCCTGAACCAATTGATTTTTTGCCTTTTTTTGTTTTGACTCTGTTAAGAGGCTAGGAGTTATACTGGACTCAGCATTACTGTTGGAGAAACAAGTTCATGAATCTGTAAAAAACACCCCACCCACTTATTTCCAGCTTATTTTAGCCTGGATGATGGCTGATCTGGCTACCTGGTTCCATGCGATGGTAACATTAAGACTAGACTACTGTGTATGTGTGTGTTAAGTGCCGTCAAGTCACTTTTGACTTATGGTGACCCTACGAATTAATGACCTGCAAAATGTCCTATTGTAAAAAGCCTTGCTCAGGTCTTGCAAGCAGAGGAACATGGCTTCCTTTATCGAGTCAATACATTTCATGTTGGGTCTCCCTGTTTTCTTGCTGGCTTAAACGTCTTCTAGCATTTTTTCCAGTGACTCTTGCCTTCTCATAATGCGGACAAAACAGTCGTGAGAGTCTGACCCACAAATCAAGATAGTCAACAAGACTTAGAAAGAAAATATTATCTATATATTGTTACCAATAGACACTACATAACAATGAACAAATTCCATCAAATCATAAGAAAATCTGTGTTGCCTGGGATCCATCAGAAACTAAGTAGCATGCTTGCAGCCTGAATACTTTTGAGATCAGCATCCTACCACTAAAGGCATTATTTTTCCTGATTCCGTGTATAGCACTTTTATGAGCATGAAAGCTCTTGTACTACTTTCTAGAATATTTCCTGAGGAAGATCTGTTTCTTGAAACGTGGTTATAAAATCCAGAGACGATGTTGATGCATTCTTATACAAGGATTTTCTTATGATTTGATGGAATTTGTACATTGTTGTGTAGTGTTTATTTGCAACAATATATAGATAATATTTTCTTTGTAAGACTTGTTGACTATCTTGATTTGTGGGTCAGACTCTCACAACTGTTTTCTCAGTATTTGTTTCTAGACCAGGTCATGATTGTTCACATTTGTCTTCTCATATGACCAAAATACGATAGCCTCAGTTTAGCTATTTTAGCTTCTACAGAGTTCAGGCTTGATTTGGCCCACTTGTCTTTTTGGTGGTTGGTGGTCCACAGCATCTATAAAACTCTCCAACACATTTCAAAAGAATCAACTATCTTCCTGTCAGCTTTTCCATTGTCAATTTTTCACACCCGTAAATAGAAATGGAGAATACTGTGTATTAATTATTTTGATCTTGGTCGCCGGCAACACACCCTTGCACTTTTTTTTTTTTTAAACAGGTTTGAATCCTCACTTGTGCCATGGAAGCCCATTGGGCAACGCTGAGCCAGCCCCATGGTCCCAGCCCAACCTACCTCACAGGGTTGCTGTAAGGAAAAACTGGAGAAGTTGGTGAAGAGGCCAGCAGTGGAGAAGGGGTGGCCAGCTGAGTGGTTCACAGCAAGGTGGAAGAGATGGCTGCAGTGAGGCCATGGCAGCAGTACAGTGGCTGGGCCCACCCAAGGAGGCGAGGAAAGCGGCACCAGCAGGGAAGGAGGCTGCCCCAGCCTGGGAATCCTTGCACTTAAGGATCTTTTCCAACTCCTTCATGGCTGCCGTCTGCCGTCTCAATCTCCTCCTGATTTCTTGGTTTCAGTCTCCCTTTTAGTTGATGATTGAGCCAAGGAACAGAAAATCTTTAACAATTTCAATTTCCTCATCAACCTTAACGTTGTGTGATTCCCCAATAACCACTTTTGTCTTCTTGATGCTCAGCTGTAATCCTGCTTTGACACTTTCTGCTTTAGCCTTCAGCAGTAGTTGTCTCCAGTCTTCACTGTTTTTTACCAGCAATGTGGTGACATCTGCATATCTCAAACTGTTAACATTCTTTCAACCAATTTTCACTCCACTTTCATCTAAAACTAATCTGGCTTTTCTTATATGTTCTACATATAGATTGGATAAGGACATAAAATACATCCTCATATGACACCTTTGCCAATTGGAAATCACTCTGTTTCTCCATATTCTGTCCTAACAGTGGCCTCTCGTCCAGAGTATAGGTTGCACATCAAAACAGACATTGCAACACATCTGTTTCTTTTAAAACCAGCCATAGCTTTTCATGATCCACACAGTCAAAAGCTTTGCTGTAATCTATGAAACGCAAGCTGATCTTCTTCTTTTCTTCAGTAATTCTTTTGTATGCTCCAGTCACCAGCATACATTTGCAATATGATTGCTAGTGACTCTTTATTTTCTAAATCCACCTTGAACATCTGGCATCTCTCATTCAATATGTGATAAGCCTTTGTTGTAAGATTTGAGCATTGCTTTACTTGCATGAGATGCTTTACTTGCATAAAAAATTAATGTAATGGTCCGATAGCTGCTGCAATCTTTGACGTCTCTTTTTTTGGAACTGGAACGTAGATTGAGAGTTTCCTGTCTGTGTGGCATTATTTTGTTTTCTGCACTTGTTGGCACAATCTTGTTGCTACTGTAATGCACTCTAAATAGGTCTCCCCTTGAAATCAACTTGGAGACTCCAATTGCTGCAGAATGCTGCAGCTTGGTTACTATTGTGAGCTGGGCAGAGCATAAATATTATGCCCATTTTGAACTCACTCCACTGGCCACCTGTTAGTTACCAAACTCAATTAATGGTACTGGCTGTCAAGTACAAAGCCCTACATGGACCCTCATGTCTGTAAGATTGCCTCTCCCCCATGCTCTGTCATGACAGGTTTGCTTATCTGAGCAGAGCCTCTTGGAGATCCCACTCTGCAAGTGGCCAAGATCAATGACTTCCTGTCCACATGCTTTCTCTGCAGTGGCTCCCAACCTGTGAAATGGCCTGCCTCAGGTCCGGAAGGGCTCCACACGGCTGATATTTTACTAACTGTGTAAAACAGAATTGTTCAGGAGGGTATTTTTAGAAAGGAAATAGGGTTACATCATAAAGGATTGATCCAAGAAAATGCACTGGTTACTACTTATGTAATACCACGTTCTGCATTGTTTAACATGACATGTTTAATTCTTAAGCTTTGTTTCAAATTTCTACAATCCTAGCCTTATTCTTCATTTACATTGTGTAATCCATCTTGAGTCTCAATGAGAAAGGCAGACTACAAATAAGGTTAATAAATAAACAAAAATATCTAATGCATCCATTGCTTGCCATGAAGATTACCTTGCCTTTCGACCAGCCCATCTTTTCCAACATTTTCTGGCCAAATTTTGATTCATCTTTACTCCATGTGCTATTTCGGGGATCCACAGACCATTTCTGTTTGCGACGTGCTACAAAAAGGAGACAAGCAATGAAGGTTCCATCTGGCCAAGCTTCCCCCACTGGCTAGTCCCTCCTCCCTTTAAGGACATCAACAAAACAGTTTCCTCCTGTGATTTGCTTACACAAAGAGGAGTAACTCAGCTACCAACTCTGTGAGATGAGAAACAGAGGACAGAGCAAGGCAATTTGGAAAAGCCAGATGTAGCAGGGCACTTAGGCCACTTCCCTGTGCTGCCAGCTTTTTAAAAAAAGGATGATGCAACAAAGTAGCCACTCAGGTCTATTTCTTACATTTCTCACACGGATATCGCTGGGACTTAGAACTACTCATCTCTGCAGCTGGGGAATGCCCTAAATCTTCCTAGTCATGGGAAGGGAAACTGTGCAGATAGAATTTTACCCATTGGGTCAGTTAAGCCTGCTTTCAGTGTACTGACCAAGGAATTCAAAATCACTAGAAGAATGTGAAAGTGCTTCGCACTCCTGCTTAGCATACATTAGCCCTCCTCAGCATATACACACTTGCACACATACACACACTTTTGCTTGGTTTGTTTAACTCTTACAGTGATCTTTTATTGTTTTTACTGCCTTTGTTTCCTTGCTCATTGACCGTCATTCTTAGGTTGCTTGCTTAAAGGTTCTTGTGGTAAATTATAGCATTATGTTTATTTTACTTTACAATAACTTGTAACTCATCTTGAGAACCTTTCTCATGAATATGGAACACAAATAATTTAAATACACAAGGAAACAGTGATTCCATTGCCACCATACCAGCATCCTCACTTTTTAATATAGTTGCCTTATAATTAGCAGATGGTTAAACCAACTAATTCAGTGTTGTCTGTTCTGGCTGGAAATGGCTTTCTGGCATCTCAGATGGCTGCTATCAGAGATCCTTTAAGTAGAGATTCTGAGGACTGGCGGCCCTTTTTACCGTTATAGATAGGTCAGGCGAAATGCCTGAAGTGTGGATGAATGCTACAGTAGTGCCAATCTTTAAAAAAGGTAACCGTGAGTTGCCTAGTAATTACAGGCCGATCAGCCTCCTCTCTACGATTGGGAAACTTTATGCAAGACATCTGGCGATTAAGCTCAATGCTTGGGTATCTGAACAACGGATACTGGGAATTGAACAAGCCGGCTTCTGTCAGGGGAAGTCCACCTTAGACAACTGTATAGTCTTAAATCACCTAGTAAATAAATACCACAAAGGGAAAGGAAGCAAGTTAATTGCTACCTTCCTTGATTTGAAGGGTGCTTTTGACTCTGTGTCTAGGGAGCTGCTATGGAAGAAACTAATGAAGCTTGGGATGGATTTAAGATTGCTATTCTTGATTAGGAAACTTTATACTGGTACAACCTGTCAAATTAGAGGCTCTAGTAAGGGTACTCTAACCCCAAAAATCATTACTAATATTGGGGTCAAACAGGGATGTATTTTAGCCCCGCTTCTCTTTAATTTGTTCCTTAATGATCTGGCTGCTTGTTTGGAAAAGTCTGAGGGCTATAGTCACTGCCCATGTTTAAGTGGACGACCAATTCCCCTGCTTCTATACGCTGATGATGCCGTCATTCTCTCCCGCTCTGAAGTAGGGATGAAAAAATTGTTGGAGTGTTTCCTGGATTATTGTGACCATAATGGACTTTCAGTGAATTTTGAAAAATCTAAAGTTATGGCCTTTGGGGGATTCTGGAAACCTATGAACTGGAGCATAAGGGGTAAAATAATTGAGCAGGTTAAAAGCTTTAAATATCTGGGGGTCACCTTTCATCATAACTCCAGGTGGGTAACACACAGAACAGAGGCAATTAAAACTGCGAACTGCTGTGTGCTCGCAATTTTGCGGTTTTATTACACTAAGGGTAATCAGTATGTGCCAGCAGCTATAAAAGTGTTTGCACACCAAATTAGCGCGAAGCTACTATATGGTATTCCTATCTGGATTACTGCTTTTAATAAAGCAGTTGAACAACTACAATCCAAATTCCTGAGGAAGATTCTGGGGTTGCCTTCGTGCGTATCTTATGCTGCCATTTGTCTGGAGCTTAATTTGAGACGGTTAGAGACCAAGGCCTGGATTATTACTTTCAGATTTTGGCTACGTCTGCATTTTAGATGTAACCACAATAGCCTTATCACCTATATGCTGGAAGAATCTCAATCCTCTGCGTGGCTTATGGCTATTGAAAAGAAAATCACTTCTATTGGTTTTAACCTGAGTGACCTTGTCATCCGGTCAGAGCTTGAGGTCTTTACTTTGCTTAAACAGAGACTTATTGATATAGAGTTGCAAGAGCTCAGAGCCCTTGCCTCCGGAAGGTGCTCCTCAGTAAGGTGGGCTTATCCCCTTTCTGGTACTCTACCATATTACTTTTTCTGTCTGACTTCACCGCAAATGTGTAGAGCTTATCTGTTGGCCCGTCTTAATGTTCTCCCCTCTGCTATTCTTGAGGGGAGATATAAGCAAATTCCTTATTCAATCAGGTTCTGTGGTTGTAACAGAAGTGAAATAGAAACTGTTGAGCACGTACTCTTACACTGTAAATTGTTAAATGACATTCGAGTGGAGTGTATAGAAGCCCCCCTTAGGATGGTAGCAGGCCAATCAGATAGAATCAAGGTACAATTTCTCCTTGCTTCACGAGATCTGGAGATCACTGAACTGACCGCTAAGTTTCTCCATTGTTTTATAAAACGGAAGAGTAACCCTGATCATATTAATGATTCTTAATTTATAAGTTTAAAAACTTAAGTTTAAAAGTTTGGAATGCCAGTTTATTTTATGATTCAGGCATCTTTTGTATGGTCAAATCTAACTTGTGACAACTTGAGTTAGGCCTGACATACCCACGACTATCTATTTTATAATTTCTCTTGGACTTTATTATTGGGAAATGTTTTAATATTCTATGCCAATAAAAGGTATTTGAATTTGAATTTGATTCTGAGGACTGAACCTGAGACCTTCAGCATGCAAAGCAATACTTCCCATCTGAGCTATGACCCCTCCACTTCCACTCATCTGATCAATCTACTTTCCTGTATTAATCCCCAGCATTTATTGGTCAACTTCTTCCAGTTGACCTTTCCATCTATTACAGAACAAAGTTCTTGTTTAGAAGGGCTGCCTCACTGTTATCTTTTCTATGCTTAACTACTAAAATGAGATGCATTAGGTCTGAAGCTGACTTGAGAGCCATTTTTTCATCTACCCTGACTGCTCCCTTCCCTAAGAGCACACGTCCAGACTAAAATTACACAATGGAAACTATCAAAGAAAGGCTACTTCTTGGCCATTGTTAATCAGGGAAACTCCCAGCCCATGTTCAAACAGCATCTTTAGAACTATCATGTAGCTTTTAAGTTTCAACAATGAAAATAAAAGCTAAGGTCTCAGCCCTGGCACAACTGGAAGTGCTAGAGATATATACTGAATTGAAGTCACAATTTTACCCACAATTGTTCATTTCTTCCCCCTCCCCTCAGCCAAAAAAGAAATCCCCAAGATTCTCACATACTGCCATGATAAAGGAAAGTATATATCACTAAATTCATCTACCACAAACACCCAAACAGAATGGCATATCACTTCTTTCACATGGGTCATATTGCTACTTTATTTAAGTGAATTAATACAAAGAAGAGACTTTAGCTATGTTAAATGGGACCTTAGGGAATGCCATACAAAAGTTTACACCCAGAACAAAATGTTGTTGGTCTTAGAGGTGCCACTGGTCTCAGACTTTGTTCTTCTATATACTCGTGTTAAAAGTTTTTGAGAGCACGTTAGGTCTTCATTAACTTAACTTCCCGGGTGTCAGGAAAAGAAGTTTAAGGTAAGAAACCACGACGGGCTGGGGGGCTGGGGAGAGCTATTTTCTGCTTCGCTTGATAAGAGCTTTCACTAGTCACTCAACTCCGAAGTCCATCACGCTCAGTCCGTGAGCCACAAGGCGCACAGCCAGGCTCTGCCCCGAACCTGACGGAGCAAAATTAAGGCGGTAGGCTTGCGAGTTCTCTTCTCTGCATCCACTAGGCTACACCTTCTGGCACCAGGAACTTCTGCTAATCAGCCATATACCCTCCTCCGCTCCCACCAAGTATCACCCTTAGCTACTCCCACGAGCCAGCCAACGTCTCAAATCTCAGCGTCCGATCCTCGGGAGACGTTCCCCTGCTACCTCTTTCTTCTCTTCCCCCTCACTTGTTCAGTCGCACTGTCGCACATAAGAGAGAATATTTAGCCATGCCGACTTCACACTTACGTTCCGCCAGCATCGCCATCTTTGACCGGTAAAAAGGGCCTTCTTTTCAAGCCGGCGCGCGATAACGTCAAGCGCTGCCATTTTGGCGAGACGGCTGATGCGCCTGTCTAACACGATGCCTGATTAAAACAAAGGGAAGAAATTAAAAGTAGGCGTATACGTTTGGTTTACAAAACAAGGCCACAATTGGGGTGGCGGTGGATGAGGAAGTCTGAAAGAAATTTATTCCCAGCTTCGTTTTTATAACGGGCAATACCGCAGCCAGCAGTGATTTCTGTAGTGGCTGAGGCTGGGACTTGGCGGAGAAGACGGAGGGGTCTTCCGCTGCTTGATTTCTTATAATGTGTCAGGTTCTTTGCTTTTTCGGTCTCAGGGCTCTTGTGTTTTAAAGTCTTACAACATCTTTCTGCATGTAATAGATATACCAGGCAAACTTCTTTCTGGAGTTCCTTCCCCCTATGTGGAAAGGCTAAAGAAGTTGGGGGTTTGTTGTTGACAGTGGGAATGGATGGGAATGATAAGAGGTTGATATAATACCCACCCCATTAAAAAAAAAAGTTACAGAGCAATCCTAAACAGGTCTACTGTACTCATTTGACTTACGCCCAGGAAATTGTTTTTAGGATTGGACTGTTCATCCTCTAGTGAAACCAGTTGGTGGCAAGTTCAGTGTTATGAAAAATCAACCACTTCTTCACTCAGTGCCTCATTAGCAATTTGTCATTACGGCCACTAGCACGGCTGAATTACTAAAGGACTGGGTCACAACGGGTGTTACCTGTAATTCCTAAACGGAACCTCCAACTGGAAAGGCAAAATTCCTTAGGATAATAAGGAATATTAACAGGAAAAAGACAGGTCCTTCATGCCCTTGCAGGTTTTCTATAGAATCTTGCTAGCCTCTGCTGGAAATACAATGCTGGACTTGTGGTGGAAAGTGCCATCACATCGAAGACGACTTATGGCGACCCCATAGGGTTTTCAAGGCAAGAGGCATTCAGAGGTGGTTTGCCATTTCCTGCCTCTGCATAGTGACCCTGGACCTTCTTGGTTGTCTCCCATCCAAATAGTAACCAGCGCCAACCCTGCTTAGCTTCCAAGATCTGATGAGATTGGGCTAGTCTAGACCATCCATACTGGACTAGAAGAACCATATTCTGATATAGCAGGGCATTTCTTATTTTTATGAAAATGATAAAACTTTTCCCTTCTTAGTTTCTTGCATTGCCTTGTGAAACCACTAGCTGGCATTATTGAGTATCCTTAAGAAAAAAAGGATCTCAGGAGCTCAGTTTTATAATATATTTTAATGACCGTTTTCATCAGTGGTACTTAAAGTTTCCAGTTTCCATATCTGGATGGCCATACATAGGTTTGAACAGACATTTGATTTAAAACAGGCTAGAGTTGGACCATAAGGTGCCGAGCACCGAAGAATAGATGTTTTTGAATTATGGTGCTGGAGAAGACTCTTGAGAGTCCCTTGGACTGCAAGGAGATCAAATCAGTCAATCCTAAAAGAAATCAACCCTGACTGTTCCCTGGAAGGCCAGGTACTGAAGCTGAAGCTCAGGTACTTTGGCCACGAAATGAGAAGGGAGCATTCACTGGAGAAGACAGTGATGCTGGGAAAGGTCGAAGGTAAAAGAAGAAGGGGATGGAAAAGGATGAGATGGTTAGACAGTGTTATCGATACAATGAACATGAAATTAAGCAAACTCCGGAGGATGGCGGAAGACAGGAGGGCCTGGCGTGATGTCGTCCATGGGGTTGTAAAGAGTCGGACTTGACTGTGAGACTGAACAGCGATAACAAACCAAGCATCTTCTGTTTTCTCTTCTGCTTAAACATTTTCAATTGATGCATTTCATACAAAGGTATTCTTCTGGTAACTGGTGAAAATACCCTTCTTGGTATACCACAATTACTGTCTGATTGCTATCTCATAATGAGCCCACAGAGGTTCCTTGGCTGTGCCCATTGTTCAGGTGTGGACATCCCCAGGGTACATTCCTTCTTCATGGAAGCTCCATTTCTACCGAACAGGCTGCCAAAGGATGTGTGAAAGGCACCTTAATGGACTGGCTTTTCACAGTGTGTGCAAAACTGTCCTACTGAACATATGAACCATCTTATACTGAATCAGACCATTTGTCCATCTATCTCAAAACTGTCAAGTATGACTGGCATCAGCTCTGCAGGATCCCAGGCAGGGAAAGGCCTGTCCCAATACCTGCTGAGATTCTTTAACTGGATTCTTCCAGTTAACCAGACCCTTCCTCAGGCTAATGTCCTTGGATTGATTACTGCCTGTTTTTATTGTGCATACAAGCTTTTAAGCTTGTTAAATTATATGTATGTCTCAGTTTTTATTTTCAGCTGACTATAAGCAGCTTTAAACTTTTGGTATAAAGGATATTTTTGAAATAAAATTATTAGGTAAGCATTTCTTTGTGTTTGCCACAGTGTCTTTTCAACATGAGTTGATAATAAAGTGAAGAGTGACCCTGAGCTACTGGATGTTCCTTGTCACGGATGAATCATAGCATTCTCCTGCACATCTGGGAGCAAAAGGGACTGGATTGGCAGATCAGAGGGTGTGATTTACAAGTGACTTTCAGCCAGGCATCTCATTTTAGAAATTCATCACCAGGATATACCGTTGGTTATTTGGCTTCGACTGAGGACATCAGAAGAAACACTCATGTTATTCAGGAATGTGCTAATTTATTTAAAATTTATTTAAAAGTCTGAAAAGCAATTATTTGATATCTATAACAATAAAAATATTTACATGGAGAAATGATTCTTTTGTCTGAGGTGTGCTGCTTTCATGCCTAGGATACAAAACATCAACATTTTAAAAAGGTCAATGGTATTCAATTGCAGGCCTGCACCAAGAGTCATGTCCCTGTAACAACAGTCCTCATTTGATCCTGACCCTGATTCCGCCTGTTTACCAACTGCTGACAAGTTCCATTCCATGACGCTTTATATTGGATTGAGAACTTCATTACTTTCTCTGGACTATTCTAGCGTTGCTGTGTGTTGGAAATCCTTGTGATTGGCTTGATAATCTAAAATGAATAAAACATAAATGGTTATTCCAGATGGGTAGCCATATTCTTTAAGTAGAGGAATAAAACAGGAGTCCAGTGGCACCTTAAGGGCTAAAGAAAATTATCCCAGCATTTCATGAGTCAGAGCTCACTTCATCAGGTGCACTGAAGTATAAATCCACCAGGCTGATATACACAATAGAAAGGGGAAGGGAAAGTGCAGGCAAGGCAGGATATAAATTGAAATAAATAAATAACAGAGAGGCCAATTCAAGACAGGATACAATCCAAAGTGTAATCACTTCACAACAACCCTGTGAGTTAGGTGAGGCTGACAGAGACTGGCCCAAGTTCATCCTGTGAGCATCCACAGCAGTATGGGGATTTCAACCCTAGTCTAACACTCTTAGACCCTAGTCTAACACTCTAACCAGTACACAATGTATGTTTCAAATGCATTTTTATATGAGTAGTGGTGATATGGTGAGTTTTAAATCTGAATAATAAAAGATTATGCTGATGCCTGTTCTGTCCCACTCTAGGCTCAAAGCTGTTTGTCCACTGGCATCCTTGGGTCTGAGGGTATAGCTCAGTGGTAGAGCATTTGACTCCAGATCCCTGGTTTGAATCCAGATGCCCCCTTCTTTGGGGAGGGGCTGTGGCTCAAAGGCAGAGCATCTGCTTGCCATGTAGAAGGTCCCACTTCCCAGTAATAGAGACTCAGCATTGTGTAGTGGTTAAGATTGGTGGGCTCTAATCAGGGGTCGTTTCGTAGAAAAAGAGCTAGGGGAACTCATTAGCATAACTCATTAGCATATGCCACACCCCCTGACATCAAGGGCCCGGTTGTGGACCTGCAAGGCCGGCAGGAGTGCGAGGAAGCCCCGCCAAGGCCCTCCCTGGCCCTAGGCAGGCGGGGGGGGAGAGGCGGGGAGGAAGCAACTTACCCTCCCTCTTCTCCTGCCTCCTCCTGGCTGAATGAGGGTTGGAAGCGGGGCGGCCAGAAGCAGGGGGCGGGGCTTCATCGTGTGCCCCGCCCCTCACCCAGGGGGACTGCGATCCCCCACGTTCCCCCCCAAAATGACCTCTGGCTCTAATCTGGAGAACAAGGTTTGATTCCTCACTCCTCCACATGAAGCCTGCTGGGTGACCCTGGGCCAGTCACAGTTCTCTCAGAACTCTCTCATCCCCAATTACCTCACAAGGCAACTGTATTTGTTTGGCCCCGGTCACACAGGCGGGATATCGCGGGGGGGGGAGGTGTGGCTAATTGCCCTGGTGCAGTTTGATGCACGATTATGTGATCAGATGCACCGGCGGCACACCACGGGTCCTTCACTCGGCACCGGCGGGTAAACGAGGGACTGAAGGGGAATGCCACACGCCAGTGCGATCACACCACGGGCGTCTGGAGGCAGCCCATGGCAAACATTTACTAGTACCTTGGAGGTACTAGTTTTTTAAGGCGTATTGTTGGCAGTAAGCCACGGGTGCACTCCCCAGATGTTGGGGTGTGATCGCACCCAGATAATCCGCCCACCATCCGTGCCTCTCCTGCGGCAACTTTGCCGTGTGACCGGGGCCTACATTTGATTTCTGAATCGCTCCATCCCTGAGTACACAGGGCTCTGGGCAATTTACAACAAGTTAAAACATACAAAATACAGATTAAAATCGACAATCAATTGATCTTAATTACTCAGTCTCCAGATGGCATCTGTAATTTGACTTTAAAACCTGCTCTGGGCTGTTCTTCCACCTCACGGGCAGGTTAAGGAGGAGGCCGAAGTGGGCAAGGTAGGAGTAAAGAGGAGGGGGCCTGCTAGGATGGAAACTGTTGCTGTCCTCGACCAAACGCCTGGTGGAACAACTCTACCTTACAGGCCCTGCGGAATTGCATTAAGTCCCGCAGGGCCCTGACGGAATTTGGCAGAGAGTTCCACCAGGTTGGAGCCAGGGCCGAAAAAGCCCTGGATCTGGT